CATTTGTGTTGGTGGTGAGGTCCTCCATGGCCACCGCCCTCTTGAGACATTGCTTCAGCTCCTCCGGGTCGGAACGAACCTGACGAGCAAGGGGAGGAGGAGGCGGGGGGAGCAGGAGGGGGAGGAGGAGGAGGGGGGGCAGGGGGCCAGGAGGAGGAGGGGGGGGCAGGGGGCCAGGAGGAGGAGGGGGAGGAGGAGGAGGGGGAGGACGAGGTTTAGGTGGGTGGAGAGTATTGTCATACTTTATAGTAGGGTCACATACACGTGTATGTGGTTCGGGAGGGGGTCCGGATGGGGAGCGGGGCGGGTGTGAGGGCGGATCCGCGCTCCACAACTGGAGGAGCACTGCACACGAGGAGACCAACACGTGTACGGCTACCAGCGCTGTCCCCGACTCATATGAATAGCTCAGCCAATACCGGCCGGAAGACCCTCCGGTCGGAACGCCATGAGAAAGGGGGCGTCACCTATACACCTATACATACATACATACATACATACATACATACATACATACATACATACATACATACATACATACATACATACATACATACATACATACATGTTGTTACAGGGTGGTTAACTTCGCCAGCGGCCCCCTTTCCCGGGGCAGTCCCTGCTCTCCCCTGCTAGAGGGGCACCCTAATCCGTCACCCCATCCGACTTCAGAATGTATTCGTTGGGTTCGGCAACTCACCACCAGCATCCAACCAAATCTAGCGGATCAACGGCGCATCAACTTAGTTCCTGGTCAGCTCGCAAGTTGATATTATCACGTCCTACACCGTCCATATGATGGGGGGCCACCTCCCATTTCATCACTCCTCAAACACCCGAGGAGCTGGCAGGCGGATTTGAACCCGGGTCGACTGGATCGACTGGGAGCAGAAGTCAGGCCTTAACTTCTGCCAGCCGCCTGCATACATACATACATACATACATACATACATACATACATACATACACCTAGACCTACACCTACGCCCCTCTCACCCGCTCTTGCATGTCCTGCACCACCTCGAACAGCGTGAGCGCCCCGTCCAGGTCCTCATCTGTCACCTTGCCCAGCTCCCACATCTTCTGAACTGCGTAGCACTCGGACTCGAGACCGTTCAGGATAACCAACAAGTGCTCCGCAAAGGCCTGCGGAGGAAGAGAGGGAGGAAGAGGAGGGGGGTAGTTAAGACGAACCAGCCACTGGCGAATGGAGCGCTTCAAAACACCAAAGATAGACGGGGGTAGTCCAGGAGAGGTTATAAATGCTGCTAAGGAGAATTTACTGACCAGTGATGTCGTCTGCGCAATCAGGAAGGAGAGGAGGAGAGGGAGGAGGTGCGGTAACAGGAGGCGCGGGGAACATAGATCGACAGGGCGGCGGGCAGGGGAAAGAAAGCACCGGGGTGGGGTTCGAGAATTACAGCGAGGCAAGTAGCACCAGCAGCACTAGCAGCGATGAGGACTAGGGTAGCAGCGGCGCCAACAGCGCATAACCGCAAAGACGAATTCGTCTTTATGGGCTTATTTGGCGAAATTGCCATGATGGTGACAACAGCAGTAACAATAGCAGCAATAGCGACCATGGCGATGACGGCCACGAATTGAGAAGGTTTGCTCGTGCCGTACCCTGTCGTACCTGGATGTCAAATGGTACCTCACGTGAACGAATGGCCTGGTCCACCAGGCCGATGAGTTTGATGGCGCTATCAAACGACTTCTTGCGCAGGCTGATGTGCTTCACGTTGATGATGCCGCCGTACAGCGAGGCCGTCATGATGACGTGGGCGTGTTTGCCGGACATAATGCCCAACTGGCAAGCCAGCCAGGTCGTGAGCACTCGAAATTCCGTCAGCACCATCACCTGGTCGAGTGGAGCGGGGGTGTAAGGAGGGGGGAGGTGTTGGGTGATGTAATGATAGATCCCCGCCGCGAGGAGGAAATGTGCCTGTGCCTGTGCCTGTGCCTGTGCCTGTGCCTGTGCCTGTGCCTGTGCCTGTGCCTGTGCCTGTGCCTGTGCCTGTGCCTGTGCCTGTGCCTGTGCCTGTGCCTGTGCCTGTGCCTGTGCCTGTGCCTGTGCCTGTGCCTGTGCCTGTGCCTGTGCCTGTGCCTGTGCCTGTGCCTGTGCCTGTGCCTGTGCCTGTGCCTGTGCCTGTGCCTGTGCCTGTGCCTGTGCCTGTGCCTGTGCCTGTGCCTGTGCCTGTGCCTGTGCCTGTGCCTGTGCCTGTGCCTGTGCCTGTGCCTGTGCCTGTGCCTGTGCCTGTGCCTGTGCTAAAATGAACTGCAAGCCGGGAGAAGTACACCATAGGGGTCAAAGAAGCAAGTCACACTATGCAGAACATAATCGAAGCCAAGTTGTGTCCCACTAATGCAGCAGGCGTAAAGATGCTGATTGGAAGAAGACACGACGGCAGAGCGGGTAGAAATGGCCGTCGCTGTAATGCCGATATGAACTACCCGTGTGTTTAAATGCGCGTGTGGGTGCATGTCAAGGGCCCGGGAGAGATGGGAATATCACACCGCCACGCCTCCAATAATCCCCCAACCCCCAAAACACGCACACACATACACACACACACACACACACACACACCTGCGCCGTGTTGACTCGCCCGGTATCCACCACCTTGCGGATCTGACCCGCGTAGAAGAAGGTGGGGAGCAGAATCGGTCTCAAGCCGTGCAGCTTCCCGGAAGACTCCAGCCTGCGTGTCAACATCACAGGCAACACCCTCAGAGGAATACCCTTTACCGCCACCAACCATAGCCACTACTAGCAAAGTCACGGCGGCGGTTTTCCTCCGGCGCAACGCCGTCCCCTTTCCCTTTTCCCCTTGCTTACCGCTTAGGACCCACAAGGGGCAGTTTCACACTTTGGACGCCGGCAGTTCATATTTGGTTTCCTTACATGTGATTCCCAGTTCCCCCTCCTCCTCCCCCTCCCCTTCCGTTCCCCCCTCTACTTCCCCCTCCCCCTCCCCCTCCCCTTCCGTTCCCCCCTCTACTTCCCCCTCCCCCTCCCCCTCCCCTTCCGTTCCCCCCTCTACTTCCCCCTCCCCCTCCCCTTCCGTTCCCCCCTCTACCTCACCGGACGAACTTGAGCAGGCTCATCTCCTTATCGGAGATGAGGTCCCCCTCCCGCAGGTCATCGCAGATGGCGTCCCAGGCTTCCGCAAAGCTGCTCCACATCATCATTTGCTCCGAAACCACATCCAGGTCATCATCCTCCATGTTCTGGAGATCCTCAGTGCCCATGAGGACCATACTGTAGAGGGGTGTCGGGGGTTCGGAGTTTCGGGAGTTCGAAGTGGAGTTTCCGGTGCCAGGAAGGGGAAAAGAGGAGGACGCTATGAAAGCAGGAGCAGGAGCAGGAGCAGGAGCAGGAGCAGGAGCAGGAGCAGGAGCAGGAGCAGGAGCAGGAGCAGGAGCAGGAGCAGGAGCAGGAGCAGGAGCAGGAGCAGGAGCAGGAGCAGGAGCAGGAGCAGGAGCAGGAGCAGGAGCAGGAGCAGGAGCAGGAGCAGGAGCAGGAGCAGGAGCAGGAGCAGGAGCAGGAGCAGGAGCAGGAGCAGCTGCAGGGGCAGGCGCAGGGGCAGGAGCAGGAGCAGGAGCAGGAGCAGGAGCAGGAGCAGGAGCAGGAGCAGGAGCAGGAGCAGGAGCAGGAGCAGGAGCAGGAGCAGGAGCAGGAGCAGGAGCATGAGCAGGAGCAGGAGCAGGAGCAGGAGCAGGAGCAGGAGCAGGAGCAGGACCAGGAGCAGGATCAGGAGCAGGAGC